CCATTTGCAGGGCTGCTGCTCAGTCTGATTAAGAAAGTTTAAGAATTGTAGGGGTTGTTGACTTTATTTTAACTTATTGGGAGATTAGAAGATTAGGATATATTTAATTTGGAGTTGTGCTTGGAGTTTGTTTGCGTCTTATCCATTAGCAGTTCATGATACAATTAAAACATCTTTTATTTATAAAAACTTCTTTCTGCATTATCTCTTGTAGCTTGATTTCACTGTAACTCTTTCTGTTTTCTGTTTAGACAAGACAGCAGTTAACCGTGTTTTAGTGTTTGAGGGGGTTTTTTATTGGGCTTTTTTTTTTTTTTTTTAAAGGCTACTGAATATGCTGCTGCAAAAGTCCAGGTCGATATGCTCAAGGACTGTAGGCCGTGTTGGATACAAAGGATGATTTCGGTCTAAAAATGGATGGTCAAAGATCCTGAAAGCAAATGGTCTGTTTTGCCAAATAAGGAAACTTGGCACATTCTCCTGTGTATTTTAAGATAGCACAAGTGTAGTGTGCTACTACTTTATTGGCAATATGTTGGCAGCGTGCCTTCCTGAAAGAAGCACTGAATCCTGCTTTGTGGAACCACACAGTGAAGTGAGGGCAGTGAGTTGCATGGTTGTTCCCTTTAATAAATTACAAAGGATTTTCCTGAAGTAATTGAATGTTTAAGCAGTGTCAGGGGCACATGCAAGGTTAGGGATACAATTTTCAATGTTGCAGCCGCGCACTAAGCAAAATATGAGTTACAGTTACTGTGCAATTTGTGCTAAATTCTTTCCTGTCTCCTGTCTCTAACTTGTAAGTCCCTCAGTGGAAGCTCTCAATGCTCCAGGAGCAGTAGCTGAATGACAAATAGTAGTGTCTTCTGGCTTGTACATGGAATAAAGCAGAGAGTTGGGCAGGGCAGCACTTCTTCTACAGTGCAGGCTGGTTTTGGAGAGCTGGGAGGTACAAGTGAACGTGTTGGGTTTTTCCAGTGTTGCTGTGCTAGGATGCAAGGCAGCCTGAAGCAGGGTTGGTTTGCAACCCATCTGCCTGGGTGCTTGGGCGTTGCCTCACCTTTGGGGGGGTCTGGGGGGAGCAGCAGGTGTGGGACCTCAGCAGGGTCCTGGGAAGGGACCCCCGTGCAGGTTACACCCCTAAAGTGCTGTAATCTCAACGAGCTGGTGATGGCGGATGGTTTCCTACACTGAGAGCTTAATTACTGTACTGAACTGAGTTTGTTGTGGTTTCATAGCTTGCTGCAAAGTGATTCTGCATAACAGAGCCCTGACATGTTAAATACTCATGTTAAAGAATGTTAAATAATAACTTGACATGTTAAATACTGCTAAACACAGTTCAGATCTGTTTCTATTTGGTGTGAAATGAGCAGCTTCTGACAACATGCTCAAATAAGTTACTATGAGAGGAAAAAAAAGGACACAGAAGATGGAGATGTTGTGGCAAGATTACAAGCTCATGTTAACCATTAGAGATGAAATAGAAAAAGGAGAAAGTTCTACACTTCTACACCCCCACCTACAGGAATAATTGAAATAACCAGCAGTTTAATTATTTCCCAAAATACCTGTCATTCACTGTTTCTGAAATGTCACATTTTCATTTTTTTGACAACAAGCAACAAAGTCAGTCACATAGCATTCCCCCCTGCTACATAACCATACTCGTGAAACACTGGGAACTGTGTCAGCGAGGAAGGATGGTGCTGACACCGAACCTTCATTACACTGCGTGCTTGCGCATGGGGAAATTACCATAATGCCCCTGGCCCCAAGCCTGGAGACCCTGTTGCAGAGAACTGCTCTCCTGACTGCAGAAGTGTAAGGTGCAAAGAAGTGCCGCAGGTTGTTGGAATGATGCACTTGTTTCGGATGCAAATGTAAGACTATGGAGTTTAATGAAATACCTGATTTTTTTTTTTTTTCTTAACCAATGGTGTAAACTCAGATTGTTAAGCATCTTTTAAAACAGGGTGACAAGTTAATAACTGTGTGTGGATTTGTCGCACGCAGTTGTTACTCTAAACAGTTGTTTTCTCAAACATAACAAAGAGATTGATCTGTCTAATTGAGGATTAACTACCTTGCATCTGAAAACATGGAGTAATACTTAAACAGGTCTGTTCTTTCATCTAGAAGGAGAAAAACGTATACCCAACTTATGCTGTCATTAATTACAGATCTCTAAATAAAGTGTCCCATGTAAATCTCCTCTACTTTCTCTGGAAAAAAGCATCTGAAGAACCTGATAAAAAACAATGAATCATTCTTTAAATTATATTTCTTTATTGTGTGCTGGTGCCAATAGCATCTGTAGCTGATGGACTGCTGTAGATAAATATGAAATCAGGAAGGCGTTAAAAGAATGAACAGTAGCTTCTGCAAACGCTTATGTGCTGGGCACTGCCATTGCCATTGTGTAAATGTTTAGGTAAAGTTTTAAGCAACAAGGAGAACCCATCAGAAGTACTCGCTTGTAGTTATCAAGTGTCTGGTGTGCGTGTTGTACCATCTCGAGGTCTGTTTTCTATGAAATCTTGGAATAACATCTTGTTCTATGCTAGTGTAACTTTCAGAAGTCAAATAATTTACTTGTTTATACAGATGATTTGGTTCTCCTGGGTGAGCAACAGTTTAAATTAATTTGACAGCTCTTCAGAACTATTGAATTCAGATAGTGAAGGCCAGAAATGTTTGTCTCCTGTGATGTATTTTTCTTTTCACTTGGTTTTCTGTTCCTTCTGCCATCCCAAATGCAAGCATCTGTTATCAGCTGTTCACACTTCCGTGTTAAATTTATGGTCCAGTCGGTGCGTGTGCTTTTGTCTGAGTAACATTACTCTTCTGAATAATTGTTGTCAGTAAGGAGATTATTCACTGGAGCATAGTTATCCACGTGCATAAATGTGTGCAGGGCTGCGGCCTTCAATTATGAGGTCTCTGGGTTGGGAAGCTGACCTGTTTTATTTGTCTATGAAGTGTCACATATGCTTGAGACACCACGTATACAACCTTAACTTGGAGCAACTGCTGGAGTACATGAGGCAAATGAGATTTTGTTTCTGAAGACCTGCTAATTAAGCAGCACTGGCAAAGAAGCAAAAAGTTAAAATTGGCTTTGGTCCCCTCCTGATTTTCAGGAGTGACCAATTTCCTTTCCCTTGAGCTTTCTCTAAAGAAAATGTGTGCAGGGTGGTGCAGAAGATGACTCTGGGATGGCAGGAAATCTAACAGCAGCAGCAACAAGGTTAAAACAAGAACAAAAGGTCAGCAAAAGAGTTCAGGCACTTGGATTGGGGAAGGAGCCAGCAGGGTACTGGAAGAATGGACTTTATTTTGCATCCCATGGGCAACCCCCCCTCTGA